AATACAAGTACAAACGCAATTTCTTTGTGCCGATAAATTTTAGTGCTGCAAAATAGGAACAGATATGACAAGGCTAAAAACTCAAAAGCAAACTGTGTGCTTCCTGCAATATCCCTCAGAGCGCCGCATTTCCACAACATGACAACAAAAACGGACAACATGACAATAAAAACATGACAATACTTGCAAAACGCATTCCTAATATTTAAGTATTGCTCATGCTTCAATTTCGAAGAAAGTGATGAATATGACAAAGGCTGCAAATGAAAAAGAACAACGAATGTAGAATAAATAAAACAAAATTCAAAAAACTAAGAGACGCCCAATAAATTAAAATCGTCGTTGTTGTCGATCCCTGAATCCGCGCTCTAATGCTATAGAAATACTTCAATACTAACGAGTGGGATCTTAGACCGTTTGATTTTACGTTGTGGAAATGCGTGGCCTGTGAGGGCTGTTGCAGAAGCAGCACAGGTTGGCTCCTGAGTTCAGTCCCTCTTTTTCCCAAAATTTTTTTTCAATCTTCATTCTATTGATGCAGAACGCTAAAAATGTTGAGGCATGAAAAATTGCGTGTACTTTATCAAAGCAATTACAGACTTGCAAAAATCCAAAGAGAAGCTGCACGCGCGACCGCGCCGCCGACGGTGTATACAACGGTAGTTTGCAAAAACTGCGCACTAGCAATAATTACGACTTTCCCACCCGTCTCGTACTCGAACCCCGTGCATTGGGCGGTTGTCGAAATCACTGGATTGGATTAGAATCAGCTCACCAGAAAATATCATGATCGCCAAAACCTCCCAAAGAAATCACGACATTTACAAAGCACATGCATCCATTGGATATGATGTATATTTCGGCACTACATGAATTCAAATGAAAATCCCAGCTATGCGCCCCGGGAGATGTCTGGAGAGAGAATAGTTCGACTCATCCTTGTGACATGACCTCCATTTCTGCAAAGAAAACCGACAAGGCCAGTGAGAAAAATAAACGGTATCCATATCAAGTACAAAAACGAAGCGCGGCGACACCACACACTTTCAGCACGAGGAAACCCGACGCGAACCCAACACGATCTGGTGACTCCTAAAACAAGCAATCTATCATATCATCGGGACGACAAACGACACTAACGATCTTGACTCAACAACATGCATCTTGCGCTTATCCCTTATCTCTATATCTGAACTACTCTCACATGACCAGAAACAATATGATCATTGAAACCCCCTGAGTTACTATCTATCTCTTTCGGGTGTTTGGTAGGAAACACGTTCAATTGCTCTTCTCACATTTTTCTAGGAATATATATATATATCTATATCTTATATAGTTCAACATCAATCAATGGATGGAAACCAACGCCAGAAATTAATCGAAAAACTACGCTCACTTGAGAGGAGGAAAAGAAAAAAAGTAGATTTTACGATGCTATGGTAGACTGAGCACAAGTTCGTTAGGACCCGGCTAAATATCCGATTCTCGTACTGCAAAACTTCCTCGCACAACTCATAATAAACGATCGTCACCAAGAAGCACATACAGGAGTCAATCGCACTATGGCCCTGATTCGCCAAACGTTATGGATACCGCAATTACGATCTCAAGTTAGCAAACAGATGAGAGCTTGTATCAAGTGCCATCGTCTGAACAATTTGCCATACAAGTATCCAGAGCAAAGCGATCTCCTAGCAAGAAGAGTTTTGCAGAGTAGACCATTCGAACACGTTGAGTTATACTGCACTAGATCGCTTTCTGTGAGCAGTACGGCTGAAGAACGGGAAAAATGCTTCGATTTCATAATAACTTGCATGGTTACCCGTTTGGTCCATTGAGACATCGTGTCGGACTCTTCAACAGTATCCTTCCTGCACATGTTGAGACGATTCTTAGGATGAAGAGCAGTTCCGACTCCAATAACATGCGACAATGCCCAAAAGTTTCTTCTCGATGAGGAACTTCTCAAGGAAGGCAGAGAAGCAGTTCAAGTTGACCCGGCCATGGCAAAACTCAGCAACAAGGAAATCATGTGGAACCATATAATTCCTTGCGCACTCTGGCAGAGCGGAGTTTATGAACGACTCATCAGGTCAGTCAAATCCACTCTCGATAAAACGATTGGAAAATCAACACCATCACTTGAAGAACTGTCTACGGTTATCGTGGAAGTCGAGCCTTCCCAATACAACTGTTATACTCCGATTCTAGCATGGATCTAGGGCGTCTTGCGAACTATCGACTTTCTGCAGAATTACATGCAAGTGTACTCTCCATAGGAAGCGAAGGAAGATGAAGAAGGATACCCCTCCTTCACACCATTGAACGAGATCCCATCGCTCAGAAAAGCTCTGCAATGTTCAGTGAATCTGGCTGCAAGTACAAGTGAGAACATGAAGGGAGGCGTGAGTACTCCCCGTGAATGACACCCATTCTTGATCTACGAGTAAACACAACGTCATTCATGGAAATTGGGTCGTATCGAGAAGCTGTGTCCTTACACTCAAGGAATCATACGAGAGCAATGATACGGATTCCATCTCGACGGCTCGTCCGACGTCCTATTAATCTACTGATACCACTAGAGCTCTAAGAAACAACGGACAAAGATAGCGGTGGTAACATAAGCGCGTTAACGCATTCAAGTACGCGTTACAGCCTTCGACATCGGGGTTCACTATCTGCGGCTTACCTCAAATACGATTGCAACGATTAATCTTGTATGCTGTCTATTCACTAGCAGTCTTGCACATGTCGCAGAAACAAAAAGCATTGAAATTAGCGGCACGTTACCCGTAACCAAAAGTTTGAGAAAATTCAGACAAATAAATGTTTTTCAAGATTTCAAGTTTAATGAATGATCCAAGTGCAGTAGCGCTGTCAAGTACACATCGTCAAATGCCTTCAGTTCCAGGCTGGTGCCACGCGATCAAGAAGGTGGTCCAAAGTATTCTAATTGAATGATCATCGAGTTGAAGCCGACAGCTCAGCGACTGGAATTTGATCTGTCGACCCTTAATGAGATCCATAACCGAGTGTTTGTAACCACATCGGTTTGTAGAAATTGGTTTCTTCTGGTGTGCAGCGCAACTCTTAGCGAGATAGGAGTAGCAGAAAGAGTTCAGCACCTGAACCACATTCTGCTCAATGCGAGCCTCACCAAGGAGAGACTGCTTCAGTTCGGGACACCATTTGTCTTGACCGACTAGATTTACGAAAGTCACGCAAAGTCCGACGAAGAATTGGCGACGAGTCGGAAGGAGTGGCTGCAGAACGAAGACATTCAAGTCCACATCAAAGACGTCATGGAATTGATCGAAAAGCACGTTCACTGAATAGAAACAACCATAAAGAGATAAACGAATACATGGCAGCTGCTAACCGCAAGCTTAGATCGGATCGACGAGAGTTAGAGGCAGCGAAAATACTCATCAAGAGCATTGAGATGATGCAATACAAACTGAAGCGATCCTAAGCCAGCCAGAACGTGATGTCGTATCACAACAGCAGGACCTGATACATGCTCTTAATGAAAGGATCAGGAAATGGCCACTAAGGCAAAGGATTCCCTCAACGAGCAGCAGATCGTGCACACACGTCATCTGTCCAAATGAAAGAAGCCGTCGATAGAAAGGTGTCTCTCGAAAGGGGCCAGATGTTCCAGAAGAGACCGACGATCACTACCGACCGCCTCATTTAAAAAAACGAGTGGATAGAGAGCAGAAACGAGCGATTCAGCGGACCAAGTCCCGTCATCAAGGCTTTTGGATGAGAAGCACAGAAATAAAGAAAGTCGTGTGAAAAGAAAAAGAACGATCATCTAACGCGTATCGGCTTCCGGACCAAGTCGCGCAGAGGATGAGGAGGCCAGACTGGGTGCGATCATCCCTCAAGGAGGAATTATCGGAAAAGAAGAGCTTCAGAAGAGTATCGAAACAATGGAAGAAGCAATGCTGAGGTACCCAAATAGGAAGATAGATAGAGTCAAGAGTCAAGATATCGCAAGGAATTCGACCGATTTCCGATTACATCTTCTGCGGGGCCAAAGGTCTACATTGCTCGGACTCGTGCCCGAGTATAGTACAAGGCCCTGTTGGAGCTCAAGTTGCTTTCATCTGTGGGAGCTGCTTGCAAGTTTTGCCCTACAGGATGCTGCACGGCAGCCGAAGACTGCTGGTATTGCCGTCAATTGGGAGGGTCACCATTTGAAGATATTATACAGGCATAACGTCACCATCGAGCGATCTGTCCGCTACCCGACGCGAAAGTAGAGTGCATGCTCGTATACTCAGAAAGAGGAGCTCGCGAAGCTGCACAGGGAGCCCAGTTCATCGGAGGGGGAGTGTCGCAAAAGCGACCTTGACCTTTGAATTCTCAAGTTGCCACGTTATATTGTGTAATAATTGTATTTTTGTGTCATGTACTGTATGTTTACTCACTAAGTTTAGTTCAAATTTGTTCAGTTTGAGCCAGCTGAGACATTGTGATCGCGGCAGATCATTCAAAACGGTCCACATCGATCTGGCGGGAACATGGCCTATAAAAGGACAACGCGGACGCTGTTCTGCACTTTGCTCTCACTGGTTCCACCGAGCACATCTCATTACTCCTCGATTCGCAGCTGGCATAAAGCTTCAAGTCTCTTGGTTCTCTTGTACAAACTGAAGTCAACCGATCAATTGCCTCAAGTTTAGTGTCAAGACGCAAGTTCAAGTTAATCGCGTGGCTGGATTTCAGTTGTCCAAACGGCGAGCCACCTACGACAACCCAAACTGCGCGATAAGGACAAACCCTTGAAGGCACAGACCACAGGAGGATCGTATGAGCGAGGTTAGGACAATCACTGTCTGCTCCTCATTGGTGCGTTCACCTCTGTGTTGGAAAAATAAAAGTGCGAGTGAAGAAGGCACAATGCAAGGCTAGACTCCGAAGAGCATGGGCGTACATTTGGATAACATGGGACCTCTCCCAGTTTCTTCTCCATGTGTTGTCGACGCTCACTGGTTTGAAGTTACTTCCTTGTGCATTTCCTGCTCACCCTCCCTAGTGGAACATACTGCAGCGAGTTCATCTACTGTACTCACATTTTGTGCTCCTTTTTGCAGGACTTTGGAGAGCTTTGCTCGCTGTTTGTTGTCCTCGAGGTACGTATTCAGTCGATATTCGTCCTCACTACTACTTCGATCCAAAACGTAGTGCTGATCCAGAAGCTTCAACTCTAAAAGGACAGAGTAGTAGCATGACCTGCATCTCGTAAGTATGGAGGTAGAATCAATTTATCTACTTACTTCCTCACAAAACTCACCAGCACTTTGCTCGAAAACGGCAGCTCGAATCGCATCGAATTCTCCCTTCGGAATCCTCACGGGTGGTCCAACTGAACCATATTTGTCACCGAGAATACACTAAAAGTAACCTGTCCAGTTACTACTTCGTGGCCATTTGGGAACAACCACGGGCTCGATCATCTGAGGTCAAAAACAAGGAAATGACTGAAGTACACGAATAACCCACAATTAGCCAACTACTCTCTCCCAGAATGTCGTCCATCATCTGTTGGAGCATTTCCTCGTTGAGTTTGCCTTTTTCACTGAGTGGATCAATCCATTCGAGATCGAATCCCGAACTGAACGCGAAGTTTTGCAATTCCGGAAGCACATCCATCCACAGCATCTGTCTTTCCAAGGTAAATTCTGAAAGAAATGTCTTTCGTTGTTAACGAGTTGGGAGAAAATCATAGAAATCGTCCGAGTTGTTATGGATCGTCTGAGTTCCCGGGGGGGGGGGTGCGGGAGGGGCATTACGAAGATGATGTGGCGCTACGTGAGACTGAACAAAATGAATGACTCTCTTAGTGGGAGGGTTCAAAGCACGACTGACTCGTTTTCGAGCTCTACAAGTCGTGGCTCCAAAGCCCCAGAGCAACGATGCTAGGCTATCCCGCGTCAAAAAGTCGCTCCATTTCTGAAACACCCCGTTCTGCGGGGGGAGGGGTTTTCGCAGCCTATAGACAGAGGAAGTGGATACTGAATACCGAAGCGGCGGAAGATACCGCAAATTGATCCCGAGTAAGCCAGGAGCTGGCCTTCGCCCATCACGATTTCATATAAGTACAGCCAAATATGAAGTCATCGTCCAGTCGCAACAAGACGCGGACAGCGTTTTTGGCGCCCCCAGCGCTGGTAGTTTTGCAGGGAGAAGCCCACCTGACTAGAGATCGCCTTTCGGCGAATCTAATCGTCGCCTGTCGCCCAGAGCAGCTGCAGCCAACTCTTCTACGGTATCTCAGAGTCACCGACCTATCGTAAGACTTACCCTGCTCTACGTAGGCACGTCAAGGTGCTGTTCGGACCTGGGAAGACTCCTCATCCCAACATTTGAGCAGCTCCGCACAGCGTCGCTGTATTCGGTCTAATGTGACCTAGTCTTTCTCAACAGGATATATCGGCGAGCAAGTCAGGCTGTGATTAGTCATGAGACAGTTTATGCATGTACCTGGAAGGAATGACCGAGATATTTTCTTACTACGGAACATAGTTGAGAGACCGTGAAGCGCTTTTTCTAACGGTTTTGTTGGATGAGTATAGAGTAATTTCCATGATCACAGGAATGGGTTCACATACCGTTTCCCACGAAGAATAAAAATAAGAGAGTATTCACGAAAGAAAATCTATAGAAACCGGATAGGTTTATGAAAGCGCATACTGTGAGCGTCTAAATCCGTTCGCAACCTTTCGACTCTAAGTTTCTAGAGTGGAGGGCTCTATAAAGGTACTATAGGAATGGAGGCGGAAAATAGTCAGCGAAAATGGGGTCTACTTGAGACGTGGTGGAGAATGAGTGGCCGGGGTGTTGTTCAGACATATCACACGATCGGATGGCCTAGTGGATAGCCTTGGAGGATTCTCTCATCAGGGCAATGATGGTGGGGTTTGGTCGGTTGACTCCCCCGGGTGCTGCGAGTCTTTGCAACTCTTTTTATGTTCGCTTTTCGATTCCGAGTATGTCTGTTTATCGAGTTTGCTTGGAATATCTGCCATTTATAGGCACATTCTAAATAGTTATACCCCCCATGAATTCAGCGTAGCGATTTAGGGGGTGCGAAGTTTTGATTTCAGAGACCTCACATACTCATTTTTATGCAAACAGACATATATTTTGAACGAAACATGTTGTATAGGTACAGTTATAAAGGGTTGCGAAATGTAAAAGAAGGTGCATCGAATCATGTGCAGATTATAACGCTACATCTCAGAATCTAATTAATGCTGCTCTGTAGTCGACCAGGCCGTTTATTTTATACGACCATTTATTTGGCCAACTTTTAGAGAGCCTCTACACATTCTTTACCTACTATACCAATAGGAAAGTAGATATTCGCAGATGCTAATACTGGTACGACTTAAAAATGTAGTCTTTACTGTCCTTAATCATGCAGCTGGCTGTGGGATACAGTGTTGGAGATGATACAGTCAGAATATTAAACATGATAAAGATTTTGAGGATGTCAATATCATTCGTCTCAGCTAAGGCGTAATTTTTTTTCTCCTAGACGGTCAAAGAACGCTCTAAACGGTGACCAACACAAAATTGCATTGACGGTGTTCGACAACACCCAAGAATAACGTGTCAAGAATCACGTGACGGGACGGATCGATTAACACCCTCCCGAGGAGTGTCCAGGCAACCCTTTCGGCCAAAAAAATTTTTTGACCCTGCTTAAGTTGTCATACGACCAATTTGGTCGGGCAATATGATCACGGAGTCCCCCCCATCTCGGAGGACGAGTGACGCATGACGTGGTGGGCCGCGGGAGACCGTATGCCGGATTCGGTTGCTCATATAGGTCCACTCAACGTTGGCATGGGGTGGCGGCGCGAGAACATGAGTGAAAACTTCCTGAAACCTTGCGAATCGACCCGGCTCTATATGACGATAACTGCTGCCGCTTCATTTACACACTATGAAGGAGTGTCACTCTCACACGCGCTAAACAAGTACCTCCGACAAAATAAGACTCCTCACTGACTGAATTATTGCGAAGTCTAGATGATAAACCGCCACTTTTTTCGAATGCACATTGATAGAAAAGAACTTTTTTGATCGAAATTCTAAATGACACCTGTGAAGGAATTGATTACCTCCTTCTTCGTCTTTTATGCATAGTTTTCGTTTTGGTTAGTTTTTAATTTTCTGTATCTCTCAATGGAGAAAGTTTTCGGTAAGCGAGGAAAGAACGATTTCTCCAGAATGACACTTGGGCCATCAGCATAACCCAATACACCCATGTTGGTTGAACCGATAACATAAAGGGAATACCTGGAAACATTTACGAAATCATAAGATACATCCTCTCAATGTACAAGGGCAATCATCCCTTTTCTGCATCTTAATGTAAAAACAAGAGAAACAAAGATAAAGAAAAAAAGTGCATAGGATGAAATTTGTCGCTACTCGGCGTAAATCGATAGGTACCTGTATTAAGTACGCACGATTCTGACACACTCTCACTATATCTTCGGCGTCAATGCAATGTTGGCATAGTCAAAGTATAATCTATGCCCTGACAAAGCTCGCATACTCAAAATGAGAATGTCATAAGTGGAAGATCTTTCTCATCGATAGAGAACGTTAGTGCATTAGCGTCTCCAAATCGTCCTATAGATGCTCAAAAGACCATGGCGTAAATAAGAAGAAAGTAAGGGAGACACAATAACGCCTCCGTCGGAGTGTCGGCAGGACTTGTCGTACAAAAAAATTTCAAAGAGTTATTAATCAAAAGGAAAAGACCCGCTGATAGAGTGTATAAAACGATACAGACGTTTCATACTATAAATTCTTTCTTCGTGCTAGCTGATGGTAGTGAAATAATTCTAATATATAATTGTTTACAGACAGACTCACGCATTAATTGGGGTAATGACACGTATTTAGAAATGTGCCTATAAATTTAAAGAATTAGGTTTTTAGATATCCAACTAAAACTCATAAACAGAGACATAATACAATACGGAACGCGAGAAGAAGAAATACTTATAATAATAAATTCAAGTAACTGGGCCAAAGTTCTCTCACGGAAAGAGAGGAGGCAGTCGAACCACCGTGTTTAAATAAGTAAATACCGCCTTCACCCAAAAAGTATCCATGATCTTTGAGATATCAACTTTCACCGTACTGTTGAGATATACTACTCAGCGCCTATTCCATTACGAAGGATCACTATCCGAGGAAGGAAGCGTAGTAATTGCTTAATCTGATCCGCGTTTGAAGAAACGCATTACGATCACAAGCCCAGATTGTAGAAATACGTTTATAAGTAAAGCTACGCCTCATGGTCACCATCACAGAGTGCCGCTCGAGACACAATGGACGTAGGACAAATATTTGCAATTACACCAATCTAAAGTCGCTTGTGAGACTTGATTTTCAGATCCTCTCGCATCAACGATATACACTCGCTCATAAATACTGTCATAACCCTTAAAGGCCTGGATATGTATATGTTTAGAACTCGGTCGAAGTTGCAAGTGTATGTATAGACAAATGACAGTACACTGAATAGTAGAAGGATACTTCACAGAAAGAAGCGTCAAAACAGATAAAATGAAAACGTTTAAATCGACGAACGTAAATCTCAATATAAAGACAGATAGGTCTGATGTTTTAGCCAAGTAGACATACTGATAAGGGACCATTGCTCAAGATTTATTTTCAAAGAGGATTGACACAGGCATAACAAGACAAGAAAGTTAGAATGGTGTTTTGGAAGATACACTCAACAAAGATAATAAATTATTTTAAATCTAAATACAAGCTAGAGCATCACACGATTAATCTATTATATAAACATTTTCGTTCATGGTTACCATGACAAAGTAAAACGCATTTAGCTGACAAGGCTGATATCTGAAGGTATAGGAGAACACATACCTTCAACTTAATCAAAACAATATCAGGAAAAATACGTGGTTCTGCCCACTCGCTAAAAAGCAGATAATAACTATGGCATCATCTTAAAAGTTCTACGCTTCTGAGCATTATGCTGAAGATGGGCATTTTTATGATCTGCAACCACACATTGTCCTATGGAAATAGTAATAACAACATATGAGTTGACTCTATACATAAGACAAGTTTTCCTTTAATATGAAACACACGTTCCTTTGTGTTAAGATAATATCAATATATCCATTGATGCGAAATACCTTCGCTCCCTATAATTATGCCTTACCGAGCTACAATAGAACCGCAGTTAAATTCAGGTACTCACAGGTGCACATAGCCAGTAGTATTAAATCACTGGCCAGGAATTACGCATAATCTTTAACACATTCTTAAAAAATACTTCATAACTACGCTATAAGCAATTCGGAATGCAACAGGAAATATCAAGACATCTGGTCATAAATAATATTAATCATATATCACGAACTACAACACAGCATCATCGACAATCTCAAAATTTACACAGGCAGATTTCACTGATGACATCGTTCACCAAATTCTTGAGCATGATCTTATTCTTAAGAAAAGCTGCAGAACTCTTAATCATTTGCTTAAAAAATGCCACACTAGTACTTTAATTGCTACTAATGGATACATGTGTTTCTATACAGATGGTAAAGAATCAAGAACAACTACAGATATTACAAATCCGGCGATTTAATAGATTT